GCTAGTTTTTTGTTTATTTTGATTTTTTAATTTATTCAAAAAATTTTTTAGTCTCAGAGCCCCATTTTCCTAGCAAACCTCCCATATTGTCATTTGAGATATCCAAATGTGCATTTATGACTTGGGAGCAACACATGTCCGCCGAAACGATTTTCGCATTTAGATATCTAAAATGCGAATTCCGATTTGGGATTATCCGAAATGATCATTTCGGCTTAATTATTTTTTGTAATTATAATTTAATTACATGTATAAATTTGTATTAAGTCGCTGTTGACCATAACGTTTTATAGACAAGTCAAAAATCCAAAACGGCTAAATTACCGGATGTGTTAATCAAATCTCTTTTTCGGTAAAAGGTTAGGAATGATTATTAAATTGGTTAGTGATAAAAGTATCATAAAAATAATTTTACTTAACAATGGATTTCTTATATATACCTCAAACACAATGTCGAAAGTTATCCTAGGAATATTCAATTCATTATAATCCTAATTTGAAATAAGAAAAAAAAATCCTCTCACTACACAAATGGTCAAGTTATCCACAGTGTTTTTCATCCTCGCGGTCGTTGTATCCGCTCATGGCGCACATTGGAATATAACCGTTGAGAGCGAATCTTTATTCTGCACGTTCCTTCCAAATACTCCTCATCAAAGGATCGGTGATAGCGAATCAACTGCCATCCCGTTCTGCACCGAATCAAGCCCCAAAGCAAAGGGTGCCAAAATTTTCCCTTCCGGATTCATCCGAAACAAGAAATTTTTAAAAGAAGATGGTTATGTTCAAGTCACTGGTAGTATTGATATAACTAAATACGATTTGTTTGCAGATGACGAAGGCGGCCAATATGATGCTAATGCTTCTCCACATTCAACATGTGTCGGTTTCAAGAAATTTGTGAGCCTAATTGAACCTAAAGAAAAACAATTCTGTATTCGTTGCTGCAATGACGAGTCAAAGTGCGATACTAATCATAGCGACCAAGGATGCGATGCTCTCATCCCTCCTAAAGGGTCATAATGCTTGATTATATCATATGAATAAATAAAATTCTTGATTTTTTTCTTCATACTATATGTATACAGTATACACGTATACTGTTATGAACAGACTTTATTATTTAAAATTGGTTTAGAAAACTTTAATCACGTAAATTACAAAGATAAATAATTATAACTGGTTAGAAAACAATAATCTAATAAATTTTCATTGAAAATTGTTACGTAATTTTTATGAATCTTTATCGAGAAATGTTATTTACCATATGTTTTATTTCCTGAAAATCTGTGTTACAAAACTGTATATATGGTTTTTATATGTATGTTTTTTAAATCATATGACCATAACATGAATATTCTACTCGTTTTATTAAAAATTCGTTTAATATAGAATTTTATTAAAGAAAATTGAAAATAAATTGAAAATAATAACTTTTATATAAATAAAATTTCGCCCAATTAAAAAAAAGTACAATCAAATAAATTGTTTTGACGAAATTAATTTTCGTTTCCATACATGTATGGAAATAATGATATGGTATAAAATTCCATACATAGAAAACCATCACATACGTGATTTCTATATACCCAGAAATTTGCCATAAATAACGAACAAATTCAAGACCTAAAATAAATGAATTCTTTTGTTTGATTAGAAAAGCCCGAGACACTTAGCAATTCATTGCCGCATATAATCGAAAAAGGTCAATGAGATATTTTAATGGAGCCTGATTACATTTGGGTGCAGTGATGGGAAATTACAAGGTCATTTACTATTTTTTCAAATGACCATAGTCATTTTGACTTGAAATTCATAATTAACGTGAGGTCATTTGAGGTCATTTGAGATCATTTCAAGGTCATTTTCCAACACTGCCTGGGTGTTATCTAATATAATTAACGCATTAAGTGTAAGCATGAGTATGAACTTACCTTTACTATGCAGTTACCGCAAATAATTCCCGGTAATTATCAATGTATTTGTTTCGTTATCAATATCATTATTGTTGTAGTTGTCGTTTTGTTATTGTCGTCGTTATCATGGTCGCAGTTATAGAAACATTGAAAGTTTTTTTTTTGTTATAAGTGTAAACAAGCGTTACGATAAATTAATAAAGTTCATTTCTTTTGGATGTTATGCTGAAAAAAAAAGTCGGAAATTATAGGAAATTTTCCTTGATTACAAACATGTCATGTATTTTTTTATTTTTAAAAAAAAAAAATGTTCGACCGTGAGAATATTACTAAAGTATCATGTCATGATCTTCTATGCTGTTGTCAATTGAAAAACTCGAATTTTTTTTTTACAGCTTAAAATGTTTTCAAACTACTCTACTATATTTTAAGTGTCTGCTTATGCAATATCACGATTAATAGCCCTGTTCATTTCTAGATTGGATCGGATTGATTGAAAATTAAGGTCTTGTATGATTGGTTGCTAATGCGAT